GGCCACAGGGCAGGCTCAGTCTGGGTGGGGGGCCTGGGGCCTCCCAGCTCCCTCCCGACCCCATCTCCACCTGACCTGGAGCCCACTCCCCTCTTCCCACTGTGTGACCGGGCATCAGTGTTTCCTCCTCCCTGAGCCTGTATCCTTACCCATTCAATGGGGCTGCTGACCATAGGTCCCTATACAGAGGGCCTCGTGAGGGTCAGTGAGAAGCCAGCACTTGGCATAGTGTGGTGTATATTTCTCAAATGTGTTTTGCTACATTCCCATCACCCTTCAGGGAGCTGCGGGTCGATGCCCTAATGAGGAAACTGAGGCTCAGGGGGCAGTGGGACTTGCTGCAGCTCACAGAGCAGCAGGTGGTGAAGTCAGTGTGTGCACCCATCCTGGCTCAGGGAGGCACCTCTCTGTGGTACCAGGCCCAGCAACAGCAGGCGCTTAATATGTGCAGATCCCCCACCCCGTCTCTCCCACTCCCCACCCTCATGCCTGGTGTAGGCCCTGGCATGCAGTCGGCACTTAATAAATGGCTGTTCAATGAAAGCCCAGTACACACATGGAGCTCTGTGCACCTTTGCTGAAGGACAGAGAAGGGGTGGGCGAGCGGTGAGGGCACGGGTCGGTGAGGCCCGGGCGTGCCGTCTGCCGGGAAGCCACCCTCCGACCAGTGTTGTTCTTTCTCCCCGGCTCCCCAAGGGCCAGGGATGGGTGCAGCCGTGTGTTTTCCTTGGGCCTCCCTCCTTGGCCCCGGAAGGCCGATTCCCAGAGCCAGCCCTGACCCCAGGCACTCATTTACCCGGATCGAAAAGGCCCTGCCAGCCAGGGCTGATTAAAGATGGGGAATCATTAGCTGCCGCCCCACGGCTGCACAAGGGCCATTTGTCATCTATCGAGGCTCCCGCTGGCCTCACTTTGACAGCCAGCTCTACAGGGGCTTGGACACCCTCTGCCCCCTTGCCCAGAACCCCAGCCCTAACCCTCGGTGAATGAATGAATGAATGAATGAACAAACGAATGAAAGAAAAAGAGAGAGAAACATCCCAGGGGGTCAACTACTGCCCCAATCGCTTTCCCAGGCCTGACTGCATGGGCCCCTGGACCAAGGCGAGGCTCTCTGGAGCTCACAGTCCAAGTGGGAAACAGAGAAGGAAACTGCCAAAGTGCAGGGGTTGTGGGAACCCAGGAGAGCCTGATCCTTCCCAGGGGGAGGCTGCCTGGAGGAGGTGGTGCATGCACTAGGTGTTGATGAAGGAGTAGGAGCTCATTAGAGAAAGGGGGGGTGTGCCAGGAGGGGTACAGCATGAGCAAGGTCCAGGGAGCTGTCACCATCATCACAAAGGGAAGATTTGGCTCAAATGAGCATGATGTGGGTGCTGGATGGGCCCTGAGGCTGGTGGCCTGGAGTTTGGTGGGGGGAGGCTCTCTGCACCTGGATGATGTCCTGGGGTGGAGACTGGAGAAGCTGGGGAAGAGGGAGGACAGAGGAGAGGAAAGGCTGAGGCTTCACCAGTGGAGAGCCAAGGTGTGGTGGGCCCCAATGTCCAGAGGAGGGAAAGGGGGCCAGGTTTGGGGAATATTCAGGGCTTGGTGACCGTGCTGCGGAGTATTTGGGTTGAGGGCCCTGGCCAGGAGCCTGGTCTGTGGGTCAGGGTGAAGGGTAGGATCTCCCACCCCAGAAAAGCATATCTGGGCCCCTTCTCTGCCTCCTGCCCCCGTCCCCATTCCTGTTCATCCCAGTTAGACGTCGCTCTTCTCCCTCAACCCTGTCCCATATTCATCTTTGCTTGGACCATCCTCTCCCCCGAAAGCCCCTCCCTCTCTGAATCTGCCCTTCAAGGCTTGCAAGCTTCCTCTGCTCTGGCCACATCACCTGTCATGGATGTTCCTGGCCAGGAGCTGGCTAGATGGATAACCCTCTCCAAGCCCCCAGCCTGGGGAGCAGTTCACCCCACCCATACCGCTGGCCCAGAAGTTTCCTTCTCAGGTGGGTGGTGATGGCCAGAGACCTGGCAGGAGTGTTGTGTTCAGGCTGGTGTCTGTGCAGACCAAGTGGTCCACACTTAACTGACATTGGTGTGCACACTTGGGCCTCCTGAACAACTGCCCCCTCCCCACTCTGCCTCCTGCCCTGAACCCCTTTCCTCCACCCCTTCCCTGCACATTCAGATCTGTGTGGCCAGGCCAGTGACAGTCAGCAGATGAAGCCAACTGGGCAGCTATTTGCAGAGCAAGGGACTGAATCCTCGCTTGGCTGGGTCCCCCGGGTCTGAGCCTCTCCTGGGAAGTGATCACAGGATTCAAGAATGCGCTGTTTCCGTCTCCGGCCCCCTCATGATCAGAGCAACAGCGCCGGTGGCGCCAGTCCTGCTGCTCCAGGAGACCACCTGGGCGGGTGCAGAGTGACCCACCCTGCCCAGAGGAACTGGTGCCTGAGCAGGGCCCTCCCCTGGGCCTCGCCCCCACCCCATCGCCCTAGGAGGTGGTGGAGGGGTAGGTGGGAGAGTCCTAGAAAGGGCTGACTGGGGTTCTTTCCAGGATAAGGAATGCCCCCACTCTGGCCAAGTTTGGGGGAGTCACCAGGTTGCTAGACCAGAGTCCCACGGGAGCCCGGAGTTGGGCAGCTCCCCACGCTCAGACTGTTTGCCCCTGGCCCACCAGGTAGGCCGTGTGCCAGTCTGGGGTGGGCTGAAGAGCGTCCCCCTGAAAACACCTGTCCACTCAGAGGCTCAGAACATGACCTTATTGGGAAGTAGGGACTCTGCAGATGTGATTAAGGTAAGACTCGAGATGAGATCCCCTTGGATCAGGGTGGGTCCCATATCCAAGGACACATGTCCTTATAAGAGACAGAAGAGGAGGGAACACAGACACAGAGGAGGAGGCCACATGAAGACAGAGATGATGCAGCCACAAGCCAAGGAGTGCCTGCTGTCCCCAGGAGCTGGAAGGGACAAGGAAGGATCCTCCCGCTGAAGCCTTCGGAGGGGGCTCAGCCCTGCTGACACATTAATTTAGGACTTCTGGCTCTAGGAAAGAATGAATTTTTCCCGCTTTAAGCCACCTGGTTTGTGGGACTTCATCGTGGCAACATCAGCTTCCTCTCCACCTGACTTGGTAAACTCCGTGGCCCTGAGGACACGGGAGGGGCGTGGGCAGGCCTGGCCGCACTACCACAGGGCCAGGGTGCCCTGGTACTCACTTCTCTAGGAAACCTCAAAAGTCACACCCACCCCATGTCCACCGCCGTGATAAAATAAGCACCGTGCTTCTGGGAGGACCCCAGTCCCCAGGGTCACTGTGTGGCCACCACCATTGGGCTTTTCCAAAAACTCAGACCACACGTGTGCACTGCAGCTCCACGGGTTTGGGGCTGTCGGAAGGACACTGGGGGAAGGAGTATTACAGCCACTGTGCAGGTGAGGAGACTGACTCAGGAGAAGGACAGGGCCAGCCAGGGCCCCCCACGGACAGTTGGGGACAGCACTGGCTGCTGTCCACTTTATAGGCCTTTCCTGTGGCTGCCCTGTCCCTGCAGGCCCTCGCACTGCCCAGCTGCTCCCTCACTGCCCCCCGACAGTCTGCTTCTCCTCAGCTCATGGCTTCGCCCCAGTCCAAAACCCCCAACGCGTTGACACCCCTCCATCCTCGTCCCCCTGAACAGGCCCGGGCCCCATCACCAGCCGCCTTGTTCTCATGCCTCCTGTCTCCCCAGGGCCCGACGCTGCTTGTCTCCGTTTCCCTGTGCCTTTTTACCACCTGTCAACTGCCAGACACTCCCCCCGACCGAGTCCCCACGTGTAAAATGGGGACCGAGAGACCGTCCTCCCAGGGCTGTGGGAAAGCCCCTGCTCAGGACCTTAGCCACTGCACGGACTCAAAGCTCCATGGTTGAGCTGAGAGTTTAGACGCACCTCCTCCTCCTCCAGGGAGCCCTCCTGGTGCCTCTGTGTAAGTGAATCTGTCCTTCCTCTGCCCTCTCAGACACAGATGACTGTTCACCTGTGTCTAGAGAAGGAGGCCTACATGCTGTCTGTGAGCTCCTTGCAAGCAAAGACGGTCACCCATTTCTTCATTTGACGATAATTTAATAACCACCTGCTGCAAGGCAAACTCCATATCTATAAGATGAAGCCAAATCCTTGGCCTGGTGTTCAAGGCCCATTCTGGGCCGGTCCCTGCTTGCTTCTCAAGCCTTGTCACACCCACCCCTTGTGTTCCCCCTACCCCTCACCTCGCAAGTGTCAGCTCTCTCTGCCTCTGCTCTTCACAGCTCTGGTATGTCCTTCACTTGGACATTCACTGCCTCCAGGAAGCTGCTGTTACCCCTCCCTCAGGTCCCTGGGCTCTTGCTGTCCCTAGTATGGCCCTGCTCCCCTCATGTGGACCCACTTGGTGCTGGAGAGCTCCCACGGCCAGGGCTATGTCTTACTCCTCCCTGTCCCCAGTGCCCAGCATAACGCCTGGCACGCAGAAAGAGCAGGGAGTGCTGGCTGAGTAAATGAGCTCAGCTGTGGGCCTGGGGACAGAGGACACCTTCACCTCCTCTTTCCTCAGAAAGGCAAGTCTGCCCCGTGCCTGCAGGGCCCCTCAGGCCCTGGAGCCCCGGTGCAGCCCCTCAGGCTGGAAAATCAGACCCAGAGGCGTTCCGCTCAGCTGGCTGCCCTATCTCTGGCCATCTTGCCGCCTTGGCGGCCTCTCCTCCCAGCCCAGTATCTGGGGCCCTCATCTCCCTGAGGCTGGGCTGGGCTCGCCCCGACTTCTTCCCCAGTGTGTCTCGGCTTGAATGTCCTCCATTATCATGGCACACACTGCATCCCACCCCATGCATGAAGCCAGATGCTCCCTAAGACCCCCATTCAGTTTCCACCATTCCTCAGGCTGCTCCTGTTTCCTGGGAACACCCCTTCTTCCAGTCTCATAGCAATTCGAGCCAAAGGCCACCTCCTCCGGGAAGCCCTTCCCGTTGTATTGTCATGACACCTCTAGAACCAAAGCAGAGACATGGACTGTGGTCCAGGGGCCTCCCCCAACCCTTTGTCTCCGGCCAGGTCCTGCTCCCATTCTGTGTGTAAATAGGGTCCCTGTCTCATCTCTGCTGCCCACCAGCTGAGGGCCGCAGGCATACTACTTCATCACTCCCAGCCTTCGTTTCCGAATCTTTGTAATGGGAACAGTAAGGCCCCCCTCTTAGAGCTGCTGGGACAGACAGAGGTGAAGGCCTGTGCTCAGCATCACCCATTCCGCACCTTCTGGGTTCAGTTCACCAATTCCCTCTGTTAGGAGAGGTGCCCAAATCTCAGAGGAGTCAAGACCCTCCCTGGGTGATGCTGCAGTCAC